AATTTAGTTGATGCTCATCATGATAATTTATATTGCTGTTAATAATAAAGATGTATTCATTTCTCTTGTTTTGTTCACTGTTCAAATGTTAGATTAGCCATGTGTTGTTTACGTACTGCATCAATGATTTTGTAGGGTATGACTAGCAACCTATTGTTTGAGAAAAGCGAATATAAACCAATATGAACCTGAAAAATTTAAAGTCAATCAACACTTGATGAAAATATTTTTCACAGCATACATAACTCGGTGTTAAATGAGCATGTATACTTCATAATTCTTATTATATTGTGATGATTAAAGGATTAAAAAAATTAAGTGAAGCTAATCAATATATTAAGATAACTAACTCCAACTCATTAGTGTCATCTGTTTACCTATCACTGATAGTTTCCACACCTTTAGTAAATACAACTCTTTGTCTCTTAATAGGGGTTATCAATGGATTATATTGGCTTGTCAATCAATTTTGTAATTTTTGTTTACCTGAGACACTTTAATGAATAATATTTTGATTTTGGGAATGAATCTTAAAATTATTTTTTGATTATTATATGATTTATAAGCATTGAATTGATATCATGATATCACAATAATGACACAATAACTCCGCTGAAAACATCCTTTCACATATTTGGTACATTGTTATCTCCTTTTCATTTTTGGTTCTTGGCTCTTCTTTTGGGTTTATAGGAAAACCATGTGACCATGAAAATCAATACACAAACCGGAAACAGTAGAATTTCAACACGAATTTGTAGAAAATGTTTACCAAAGAACAAATAAAACACAAAGACAGTATTGTAGTCATTTATTTTCAACAAAAACTTTTTATTTATTGATTTATGTAGGTTTGGCAATCAAAAACGTAGTTTTGACCAGAAAATTCACTCCTGACCACTTTTCTCAAGCTTGGATTTTTCCTCTGGTCGCTAGATCTCGTCTATTAGTCGGTCCCCCTCTCTGGATTATGAATTTTACTCCCAATTTTCCGACTAATAAGCGAGTAGGAACGGTATTTATAAATATATTTTCGACAACTGTCTTTAAAAAGACATGCTTTTGAATAAAGCAATATATAGTAGCACTATTATAAATCTATATATATATATCAATATATATTTGAAAATTGTCTTTAAAAAGACATGCTTTTGAATAAAGCAATATATAGTAGCACTATTATAAATCTATATATATATATCAATATATATTTGAAAATTGTCTTTAAAAAGACATGCTTTTGAATAAAGCAATATATAGTAGCACTATTATAAATCTATATATATATATCAATATATATTTGAAAATTGTCTTTAAAAAGACATGCTATTAAAGCAATATATAGTAGAACTATAATTCGTGCGATCTGACCTGGTTGAAAGTCAGAGCAGATATGACTGAACAATTGAGGAATTATTACTAGGTGAGTTAAAAGTTAATCTGTAATCTTGAACTTTATCAAATTTCTTCTTTGATTGGATTCTAATTGCCAACTGATTATATAAGGTAATTCAATTAAATGTATTTGATGTCACAGGTGTGAAAACTTTAATGACATGTTATTTGGCTTGATAAGTGATTACGACAAGTGTCAAAATTAGATTAATCTAATTAAATATAATTACTTCTAGTGTGCCGTGGTGAACTCACTCAAATCAACATTTTGGGCTTAAAGTTTTTACTATAAAGTTTTTATTTTTGTATAATATATTTATTAATCTCACAGATTCATTTATTTCATGGACAGATATTATAGAAAAAAGAAGAGATATTAACACTTGTGTCGATCAGTTCAATATATTCAGTGTTCCAGCTTGAATCTCAGGGCAGAAGGGTGCTAGTTGTCTGAAAGGGCACTTGAGCGTTATAACCCAGATTTTAAGGGCAATGTTGGACAGTGTATAAATTACCTTGAATATTGCTAGGCTCAGCTGGAGAACATTAGTTGTATTTAAACCATATTCAGAAATAAATGTGTTCTTGATGTTGGTTCCAGTAAGAATTGTTTTTCATCAAATTATCATACCATGAAGCAAAGCATATCATTTTGATGTTAATCTAAACAAACTTGTACATTTGGTATGGAAAATAATCATCAGAAATTTCAATGTTTTATAACTTATACCAAAATAAACAAGTAGTTTTGAAAGATGGAGTTATACATGCAAAATTGAATGTTGAATGTAATTAAATTATCTACATTTAAATTACTTGTTCAAACATATAGTATATATGTTATTGAGAGTTATTTATTATCATTTGAATTGTTACAAAAAAGTATTTTTAAGTGCACACCAAAGTGCTCCTCAGTAAGGAGTTTTATAAATAACACAGGTGAGACAGGAGATGATCATATTTTATATTGATGCAATAATATATTGCAGAAGGTATAAACAGTTACTTTTTTCTCCATCATTGTTAAAAATAAATTAGTTGAGTGCTCCTATGTCAGGAGGATTATAAAATACAAGAAGTATTAAAAACAGGAAGTGAATCTTGTTATGTTCAAAGTACAAATTTCTTTGATTCCTCTTTAAATTTCATACTCATGGTTATGAAACAAAAATTTTTTTTACCAATTAAGTCAAAACTATGTATGCCTTTAAAATTGTTTAAGATTTTATTTTTTATGTTATGCCTACTGAAATAATTTTTTTCAGGTGTACATGCTGTACATAAACATTACAAATGGATAACATGTGGACATTTCATTCTGTATTAAATATCTAGTATTTGTTCAATTATCTTAAATCCACTAATTAGCAGTAAACAATCATTAACAAAGGTGATAAAACTGCCAAAGCACTAGGTATTTAACTTAATCCCATTGTCAGTTAATTAGTGTTACACAATCAGGTAACAATTTTACCGGAAACGCCGGTAGACATGACATTTGGAAATTTTATTTTTTTGAAAAGGCAGAGGGGTGCATTGTTTTACTTTGGAGGGCAGAAGGGCGGGGGTAAGGGCACCAAGGGCGGGCCGCCCTTCTATTTAGGGCAGGCGGGAACACTGAATATTTAAAGCATATATCGGCGAATATTAATTCCGTCCAATCAACTTTTTTTGCAGAAAACATTTTTTTTTTTAACTATAAAGATTAAAATTTCGTATAATATATTTATTAATTTCACAGATTCATTTATTTCATGGACAGATATTGTAAAAAAAGAAGAGATATTAACACTTGTGTCGATCAGTTCAATATATTCAAAGCATATATCGGCGAATGTTAGTTCCGTCCGGTCAACTTATTTTGAAGAAAAACAATGTTTTTTACTATAAAGTTTATATTTTCATATCATATATTTATTGATCTCGTAGATTTCTTAGTTTCATGTAATAATATTGTAAAACAAAAAAAATATAAACACTTTTTGTCGATCAGTTCAATATAATCAATGCGTACATCGGCGAATGTCAATACCGTCCGGTCAACTTTTTTTGCAGAAACACATTTTTGTTTACTATAAAGTTTATATTTTCGTATTATATATTTATTATTCTCACAGATTCCTTAATTTCATCGACAAATATTGTAAAACAAAAAAGATATTAACACTTGTTTTCGACCAATTGAATATATGTATAGCGTGTATCGGCGAGTGTGAAATCCGTCCGGTCAACTTTAATTGCTCAAAAATATTTTTTTTCACTTATTTTGTTTTATTTTCATAAAATATAGTTTAATATCTCTAAGGTCTACAAATATTAAAAAAATCTACCGAATAACAAAAACGTTATGACTATTTATATCTCATCCGGTCAATCGTCCTGTCACTATCCGGGCAATCGTCCTGTCATTAGTGCTTCCCGGATAATGCACCAGTTCAAAGTTGTCAAAAACCTGATTTTTAAATTTACTATATTTTATATTTTCTTACTGTTATGAAAACTTCTTTCTTTATAAAGAAGTTTAGCATTATACTAGAACAGATGTAGGGGAAAATTTATTATAATGGTGTTTTGAACTCTTGGAATTTGCTTCCTGGCTCTACTGTATCCACACCTAAACTAGAATTGTTTACAATGAGACTTGAGTTCTTATGTGATCATGGTGATTGTTAAAAGGGCTGATGAACAAAGTACATGTAAAATTCTGTTTAATCTTTAAAGCCTTGCTGGGTCTATTTAGAGGATTGTGGTTCTCAAGGGTCCTGATACTGTCATATTTGTCTGACATGACCTGAACAGCAACCTGATTGACGAATGGCTGATTGTGATTTAGGTCATGAAATTTTTTGTACATAAATAATAATCATTTAATTGAGATCAGGTTTTTTTTTATCACCATTTTGCACTTATTTTTGATTTGAATTGTTTTTTCCCGTAATAGAACTGTGGCTTAGCTATAGTTTGATAATTAGGAGGGCCCTCCTCATAACTCTATTAATGCACCCAGGAGATATTGGCTTATGATAGCTGATCACTTTTTACCTGTGTTCTCATACCTTACTGACAGTAATAATAAAGTTCCAAACTAATAATATAAGGAAATTCTATTCCATGACAAGTTACTTCATTGTTTATAAACATTTCACCAAAGATAATCGCTAATTCATATTTATAAATTAAAACTATCAAATTACATAGAAAAAAGTAATTGTTCACAAATCAAACATGTACTTTATTTACTATTTATAATATGCATGCTGCAAGTGCCCCAGATTAGACACTCACTTGTTTGATGAAAAATAAGTTCATGTCAAATTAAACAAGTGAAGGTACATGTATTATTAGTAATATATGCAAACACTCTTTCAGGCAAGGATTATGAATGATTTCCTGCCATTTGGTAAAATAGAACAAACACTGTAGATGAATCCAGTACTAGTATCACTCGTAATTTCTGATTAACTTAAAACTTCTGGTTTTTATTTTGTTTCTCAAAAGCAAATGAAGGATGGTCTATTCCTGAAACACTTATAGTTTAAAGTCATTTAACTCTTTCTGCACTATGGCAATGGAGAAATATAGTAGGGGACAGTGATGATGAAGATGACTTACGAGGGGTTTGAAGCCGCGGACATGTTGACAAAAATTTTGACACATGGAAAAAGACAGAAACTCAAAGAAACATTCTTGAATTTAGGGAACGTGTGGGCCCAGTTAGAAATTTTAACACTTCAGCATCTGCCCTGAACTATTTTCAATGTTTTTATACTAAAGAAGTCTTCACTTCTATCGTCAATTTAAATAATTTGAAGGGAATCTGAAAATCGTACATGAAAGTTGACACATTTACCTGTGCTAACGAAGTACAAATACTTTGTCAATTGAGACAATATAACATTTATTTTTTTAATAATCATAAACTATTAAATCAATATAAACTCAACAAAAAATAAAAGTGATTTCATAGTTAAAACACCAGTTTATCAAAATTACCTGATTTACCTGTATTTTTACCTGTATCTCACCTGTGTGTCACCATAAGTCACAATAAGACAAACAGGTACAGCAAGTACAAAGTATGCTGATTATTTTGATACCTTATATGATGGAATTGGACGACTGAGTACAAATATACATCAGTTTAAAAGTACCTACCCAAAATAAATGAAAATTCTCAAAGTTACTTAGGCCAAAAAAAAATATATGTCTGTTTAAGGTTACATACTTTAAAAAAATAGGGTAGGTAGGTCGGTATTTTCATTTTATTTTTTGTGACATGATTTTGAGTCATGCCGTTTCGACTTGTCGTGATCCGAGTTGATCATGGGCCAAGTTTACCCGTATTTTTGATGATTGGATTATTTCCCTTGGAAAAAAATGGCGGCAAAGTGTTTATTTCATCAGACGAGTTGCGAATTTCCTTAAAACAGCTGTCATATTCATGATTGTGAACATTGGGATGTATCAGGCAATTGATTTATATCATTTGCAACACTAACTTCGTTATTGACACGATTTCAGTTTGTTTTTCACTTTACGACAGAAATAAAATGACTTAGGGTCAGCGCTCAAAAGTAGGGTAGGTCGGGTAACCGTAAACAGACATATATTTTTTTTTGGCCTTAGTGTTGAAGGTGTAATACCACCAAATCATAGTATGTCATCCGGTTGCATACGAAAATAGGTCGAAAAAAAATATTCCCTTGAATTTGACAGTTGTAGGTAATTGATCCTACATTTCATTGCAGTAAAACATTTCTGAGTCATAAACATATATCTTGGGTATTTCAAAGCACCATTATTTCTTTATTTGGGGTTTCTATAGAATATTTTGGAAACTTGAGGTTACATGGTTACTAAAGCTTGTACACAGGTTAAAAAAGGGGGAAAATTTGATTGGTTAACTTCCAGTGATGGTTATTTTCTTATATGCAATGAAATGTTATGTGAAATTTTTTCTATAGTACTGGACAGGATAAAACTTTACTCATGCCAAGTATTTCTTTATTTGAAACAAAGATAAATTCTGCACAATTTTTTGAAAAGTGCAAATTTAACAAAGACTAATAGGGGAAAATCAATGGTGGTATTACACCTAATATGGGAAGCTGTACATGCACCTTTGACCTTGTGAGTACTCTCATGTGTTAAAATTTCTTGCTATTTAAGTGAAATATTACAAATAATGAAATATTCTGAGTGGATTGAGTCTCCAAAATACATTTTATGAGAAAATTTCCTTGAAATAGGACTTTACCATGAATATTAGTTGACAGAACAAGCCATACTTAGAGTCTTGGGGAGCTTTTTCTCCTTATTTCTTATATTCTGCTATACTAGAAAATTTTTCCTAAGAAATACTTTAATAAATATATAGTTTTAAGTAAATGAAATTACTTTTAAAGCAGTAACAACAAATTATTCACCAAAAGAGAAGTTTTTTATGTCCCTCTCTGGAACGCGGCGTAAATTTAAGTTTTACGCAAGGACTTATTGAAACCTCCTTGGAGACAGTAAACTTTTATACGGATAGTTCAAGCAGCTTGAATACTTCAATTAATCATTTATAATAACATTTCTATCATAAATGAGTGAAAGTTACCCCAAAATTTTTATTTATTGGCCTAAAAAGTAGAAATTTTGAGGAAATGAGAGGTATAAATGGACCAAAAGAGACTTTATAAGGAAGAATAAGAGGTCCATTAGTAGTATTTATCATCCTAAAGTCATCTTTTGTATCATATTCAACTGTTTGTAGGCAGATGAGATAAATATTTGATCATTTATTAGTCCACACTATATTCTATCATGATGCGGCTTGGTTTGAATTTTTCGAAGAAATTTTGCTCGAATCGCTGTAGATGTCGTCTTACATTATACTAGATTTTTCTCAAACTATTGAACTGATTATGACAAAACTTGACAGGAATGCTTGAAATAACCAGTATTACAAAGGAAAAAAGTCACATTCAGTTTATTCAACAAAAAAGTCTTCTTTAGGTGTAATACCACCAAATCATAGTATGTCACATCTGGTTGCATACGAAAATAGGTCGAAAAAAAATATTCCCTTGAATTTGACAGTTGTAGGTAATTGATCCTACATTTCATTGCAGTAAAACATTTCTGAGTCATAAACATATATCTTGGGTATTTCAAAGCACCATTATTTCTTTATTTGAGGTTTCTATAGAATATTTTGGAAACTTGAGGTTACATGGTTACTAAAGCTTGTACACAGGTTAAAAAAGGGGGAAAATTTGATTGGTTAACTTCCAGTGATGGTTATTTTCTTATATGCAATGAAATGTTATGTGAAATTTTTTCTATAGTACTGGACAGGATAAAACTTTACTCATGCCAAGTATTTCTTTATTTGAAACAAAGATAAATTCTGCACAATTTTTTGAAAAGTGCAAATTTAACAAAGACTAATAGGGGAAAATCAATGGTGGTATTACACCTGAAGGGTATAATACAGTGAAAGTTATGCAGTGTTGAAAGAGTTAAATCATTTCAATTTTACACCTTTACATTTCATAAAATGTTCTTGAATGTTATAAATGTCATGAAATGATTGTGGTGAAACAAGAAACTGTCAATATAACTTGGTTGATAACATGAATCTAGTATGAATTCCACAGTTGTGAAAAAAGGACCCTAATTTTCAAGGAACAAGTCATCTCAAAATTACAGTGGAACCTCGGTAAGTCAAGGGACGGGACCAAAGTATTCGACTTATCCAAGGGTCGACTCATCAGAGGTCCAGTGTGTGGTCATAAATTTGAAATGAATGAAAGACTGTATGAGATTTGTGTAAACTAGATACTTTAAACAGTGTGCCCTTTTTATACGACCGCAAAAAAATTTTGCGGTCGTATATTGGTATCACTTCAGCGTTGTCCGAAGAAGGTTGGTTTAATTTCCGGACAATAACTTTAGTATAATTAAATAGAAATCTATGAAATTTAAACACAAGGTTTACAACCACAAAAGGAAGGTTGGGTAAATTTTTTTTTTGTAGGGGGAGGGGGGATCAATTCGCAACAGCAAAGTGTATTGCACAAAAGCAAAAAATTTAATATAAATTCAGATCATATAACCAATTCTAAGTTCTTTGACTACATTTATTCTGTGTCAGAAACCTATTATGTGTCAAATATATTAAATTACAATCCAAATTCAGACCTGTATCAAGCGCGAATATTGTGTCCATTTTTGCCCCAACTGTTCAGGGTTGGACCTCTGCGCTCGGCCAAGCAATTTATTTGATATGACACTATATGATTGTGTATTAGTCATATTGATCCAGCAACTCTTAGACATACATTAAGACACATAGACAAATGTGAAAAGCTTTCTCAATTAGATTTGTAGATAATCCTTCTAAAACCAAGTAAATTGCCATTCTATCTAAATTTGCCAAACTGTTAACATGAAGCAAAAATATTCAATTTTTTTTTTGTAAAAATATATAATTAATATTAAGAATAAATAATTATATGTATACAGTCGAACCTCTTTAAGTCAAAGTAGAAGGGACCAAAAGAAAGTATTTGGCTCATCAGAGGTCGAGTATGTCCGACATAAATTTAGAATGCACGAAAAATGGTATGAGATTTGTGCAAACTAGATTTTGAACAGTGTGCCTATTTTCGATATGACTATTCATGATTGTGTATACTATTGTCTCTATATTTTTGGTCCATCATAATAATTAAACACACAAGTACAAATACAAAACATCCACAAATGAAATCAATACACTAATATTTAAAAGGGTCAGTCACTAAATTATGGAATCACTCGCAGAACAAAACAAGTTCTGAAAGATCTGTGTTGAGGGTCGTCTGTTTTGCATTCAAATACAGGAAGCTCGAGGACCTGTTTTATGATGGCGCACCACCATCGTTTAAATATCTTCGGCCATCGTCAAATGATCCCCCTCATCATTTTTGTTAGCAATTATAATCAATTGCATGTAATTGCATAACCCTTATTGTATTATAAGCCAAAGGGTCCTCCTGATTACAGTTTTAAAGCCCTGATGGATATTCGGCTAAAGATCGCTAATCATGATCGACACCTGACAGGAGAACACTTGATCAAGATAGACGATTGATTGCATTATTTAATTACATTAAAACGTTTTAGTCTGTTCACCATTCCTTACATAGAAATAGAGGAATGAAATACTTTCGATCAAGTCATGCCATAGACACAGGGTTTTGTCATGGTGAAAGTTCCTCCATCGTTAAATTTTCATCCATGGAGATCCCTGCAAATATTGTAAATTAATAATAATTGCCGTAATCCTTTTATTTATTGTAATTAATGAATTTCAATTCTAAGGATTCATTTAATCTCAACTTGGGTCATTTAGATTAGTTTTATTTTCATAACAGATGAAATATGTCAACAAACTAAAGTTCCGCTTTGACGATCAACTAAGGTGTTAATAACTGGTCACTATAAACATGTCATTTTAACTGTTATACAACAAGTAGTTTACACAGCTTTAATCTCCTATGAAAATGATAAGGTTAATACGAAAAACAATGGATTTGAATTTTTATCTTTAGAGCCTGCATCTTTCAAAATTTTTTACTTTGAACTTTGAGGCATCAGGGTCATTTTACATTAATTTTACCTCGACAGGACTATAAAATTTACTCGACTTAACCTAGAATTCAAATCAACCGAGTTTGACTCTTAGAGGTAAATATTCATTGAACAATGGGAATTTTGCCTAGTCCAAGAAATTACTTTGACTCATACAAGTTTTCGACAAAAGGGCGTTCAACACAACTAGGTTTGACTGTTTATATACATTTGTACATGATGTAAGGAAAATAAATTTTCAACAATTTTTGTTCATAGCTAAAACATTTACAAAGATTTATCATACATGTCGTTTTTATATGAACATCACTAATTAATAAGTAATTATTCAGATTATAACACAGATTTGTTTATATTACTATAATCAGCCTTTTCATTTCTATGAGTATCCATGAAATATCCCCCAAGGGTGTTTATTTAGCAATATGATATTGTACATTGTATTTCAATTAAATTTAACAATTCACTTCAATAGCTGCACTAAATCAAAGTACATGTACTGAAGTACTGAACATCGGATGACCGCAAGTTCTGGTGGATGGTCACAATCACATCTCTATACCTGAAAGTTAGGTTAAGGTACATAGATATATTTTTTCTGAGACAAGTTCCTGTGTGGATGACAGGGAAATCAACCTCACCATAATAAATATTATATTGTAGTGATGTAATCATTTGTTATCAGTATACTCAGGTTTATTGTTATATATTATATTAATATTTGTATAACAGTTATATATATAGCAGATCATCTTAATAACTCTACAGGCAAATTTTCATCCATTTATATATCGTTCTATTCTACTATTCTAATAATAGTGCAGTGCAAGTGCATGGTGGACACTCTTCTGTAATAATTTGTTTTTCTAATAGAATGGATTTGAGTAGGCATTCTAATTTTCCGCTTTTGTTGCTAAACGTTCCCAAGATATTCTTCTGCAGGCGTTTAAACAAATTTTCGGTATTCATGATTTGTTAATAATATATATATTTCTCACGACAAAACACCGCAAAAAAATTTTTGGGATCGTATAATGGTATGATGTCGTCTGCGTCGTCGTCCGAAGACACATTGGTTTCCGGACAATAACTTAAGTTTAAGTTAATGGATCTCTATGAATTTTTTTAAGAAGGTTCAATACCACAAAAGGAAAGTTGGGATTGATTTTGGGGATGATGGTCCCAACCGTTTAGGAAAAAGGGGCCCAAAACAAACATTTTTCTAGTTTCAGGATAATAAATTGTGTATAACTATTTAGATTGCTCTGAAATTGTATAAAAATGTTTAATACCACAGGTAGAAGGTTGGGATTCATATTAGGGGTTATGGGGCAAACAGTTTAGGGAATTTTAAAAGGGCCTAAAAGGGGCCAAAAACAACAATTTTTGTAGTTTCCGGACAATAACTTGTGTGTAAGTGTATGGATCTCTGATATTGTACCATAAGGTTCCATATCACAAAGGGAAGGCTGGGATTGAGTTTGGGGGTAATTGCCTCAAACATGTAGGAATTAGGGGCCAAAAAAGGCCAAAAACATGCATTATTCTAGTTTCCAAACAATAACTTGTGTTAAATGTGTATGGATCTCTCTGAAATTGTACTACAAGGTTCCATACTACAAAGGAAAGAATTGGATCAAGTCTTGGGGTAATTGCTTCAAGAGGGGACTCCAAAAGTCGTTGGGGGGAGGGGGTTCCTATTTTTTTAAGGAATTCATATTTTTTTTTTAAATTTTCAAATTTCAAATGCTAAAGTAATCTTCAATTGCACAGTATTGCGCAATAGATTTGTAAGATCTTTTACCACATTTATTTTGTGTCAGAAACCTATATTATGTCAAAAATTTGATCACAATCAAAATTCAGACAGTATCAAGCTTGAATATTATATCCAAATTTGCCCCAACTGTTCAGGGTCTGACCTCTGCGGTCGTATCAGGCTGCGCTCAGCGAAGCATTTTATTATCTACTGGAAAAGTGTTTGTCCATCTAAAGACATGCAGTAAATGCAATTGTCAGCAGTAGTGCTATATTAATGTTCTTTTTTGGACACACCATACCTAAATATGATTTGAAATAATTCAAACTACTCTTCCAATCTTGCCATGAGTGATTTCCATCACTTTGAGATTTGATTTGTCATTCCAGAGTTATGGAATTTTGACCCTTAGATTTATGGCAATTCACAAATCATGCATGAACTCCAGTATTCCTGAATTGGTTTCTTCCAACTTTTACAATATTGTGGGGATTGAAGAAAGGAAGCTCCCTCATGATTTTTTCAATTATCGGGTTTGTTGCTCTAGAGTTACGAAACTTTAACTGTTACATTTAAGGCAATTTTCAAAAAAATGTCCCCCACGTACATGTTAATGTCCTTGACAGAAATTTTTTTTCTGAATGTTATATACCTTTTTTTTTATATAAAATTTTAAGTATTTTTTTCGATCAAGTTAAGTCAGATGAACATTTTCAGATGTTGTTAAATTAATGCACAGCTTGATAACATCAATAAGTATAATTGGGCACCATTGGTGTGAAAAAGGGGTTTATTTGTTCTGATTTTTTATAGCTGTTTAGTGCAACTCAACTTTATCTACATCAAGTCTACAGTTTTAAGTGAAAAGACATGCATGTTTGTCATGTGATTAACATGACAATTAGACTTTAATCAGTGAATGTCAATAACCTCTTATCTCTTTCAAGTGGTCACTTGTCTGGTTGTTAACAGGTCAGTATTTATAGAAGAAAAACATTGAACTGGAAGGCATTATTTTTTCTTCCATGTGACAAAAAAATCAAGATTCAAGAATAAATTCTTCTGTTATCAGTGGATGAATTTGTGGTTACTGATTTAAAAAAATGTATTTGCATTTTTGATAGATCATTGATTATTACACTTTCGTAACAATGCATTTGCCTCTTTTTACAAGTATAGGAGGCCTCCATCAAACCACAGTTATGTGCAAGTGACTTTAGAATATATATACCATACCAGGCTAAATGTTTTTAAAATGTCAAAATGGCACAGGTACTTATAATATGGTAATTCAAAGTATGATGGAAGGAAAAAGAGTAAAAGTTTTTATCGTTCAGGAACAAAATTTTGAAGAAAAGTTCTAGTTTTGTATATTTTGCAAGTAGGAGACTATGCAAAAAATTAGGTAAAAAGTTTGAAAAGGGGACAGTTCTTATGATTTTTCTTCAATTTTGGTTTAGAAATTATTTTGAATACTTTGATAAAAGTGTCACATTTTTTGTTTCCCCAAAGCATTCTTTACACCAAATTTTTAAACTTCTTCATGCATAAATGTTTTATTTTTAGATTTAATTATAAAGTCAGTTTTAATCGAGAGGCTTGCTTGTCCAGAAAAATGGTCAATTTCAAATGAAGGTCTGAGGACACAGTTATTCGTTGTTTACAAATATAGTCCATAGTGTGGACAGTGTATAACTTGCAAATTTTTTTCATACTCTTTTCAAATTATTTCTTTGTATTTCATACATGAAATATGAAGTAGGGGGATGTAACTACATTTAAAAAAAAATTTGGTGCTGAATTTTATTTAAAGTAGTGATTTGGTCCAGTTAAAAAGGTCAAATAATAGTATGTCTGAAGCTGTCAAACTGAATTATAGACCCCCTCAACATAGAATTGTCCATATTTTGAGTTAGAGCTGGAAGACTTTTCTATAATTTTGAATATATTTGTCCCAAAAGTAGTACACTACACTGTAAAAATCTTTTTGAGATAGAGCAGGTGAGATTTTTTAAATTTGAATTAATTGTCTAAAAGAAATGCATTACGAAATAACTGTGATCTCGGGCTTGAAAATGTTATTCAAAATTATTCTATCAGAAAACATTTCAATATTATCCCTCAATTAAAAAGAGTAATGCCCAATTACTGTCCCCATTACTGATAAAATGTATACATAGTTGTAGACCATTTAAACACATGTCTGCTGGCCTATAATAACAAAATACAGAGTCAGCAAGATATGTGATAGTATTCATTTTCTCTTAAAACCAAACCTAGACAGGTGTGAAAAAGTGTTAATAGTAAATGGTTTTGTATATCGCAATATATATATATTAAACCAGGAACAGTTGATACTGGTCAGAGAACACATTGTCACAAACTCAGATCAATTCAAGTAATGTTATTTATAGTACATTGTTTACCTTGGACTAGCATACTCTGTAATAAGTACCTGTTCAAAAATGAAGGTCTTTACTTTTATTTGTTTATCTATCAAACCTATCATTTTTCACCCAATCCTTTCAACCTATATTTAACATAATTTCACAAATTCTTTATTCATTTGATATGTAAATAGTAATTGTGGTGTGTTTTAAAATGTGTCTCCAAAATGACAAAATGAATATAATTAGGAATCTTAGAGTTTTAAAAGTTTATTTGTCTTTTACTCTTCCTGTCATGAAATAGAAGTTCCTTCATAATATAAGTTCCAAGTAGAAGACATATTCTGTAATTCATGTATTATTTCTCCTTTGGAACAAATATTACAGTATTTATTTGGAACTTTAAAGGGTATAGATAATTTCAGTTCCAACAGAAACAAATGTGATGGCATTGTTTATAACAAAGTAAAAAAAAATCCATTTAATTGTTTTAAAGTTATGTATTTAGTTTATGACTCAACCCAGGTGTCCAGTACTAGTTTAAACATGTAATTCTTGTCAAAATTAGTAAACAAGTTACACATTCATTTATAATTAAACATTTTTTAGCCAATAGAATATTAAATTGATTTTGAAATGTTCAAACACTACCTGGGGTATTATTTTTCATTTTAAATGTCCAAATAAAAACATTTTTCTTAGTTGAATAGTTGTTTTCCTTTTTGATTTTAAAAGGGTTGGTTCAATGATTTTATGGTCTGATTCATGATCAGACTAGTTCAAAGGTCAAATTAATCCTTATTGATAAACAGGCCATTATTGATTAAATTAACAGGGTATATTCTGTACAATTAGTAACAAGTGATTGTGATCATTTTATTGAAAACAATGGATTTTCATTCTTTGTATTTAAACTTTTGAAAGGAAGGATACAAAATAGTCTGTTGTAGAATATTTTGAAATAGCCAGTGATTGAAATATATTGGCAAGTATTAAGTTTATTTGTATTAATGGTAAACATATTGTATATAGATTTGTTAAATAAGAAAATTGTCAACAAAGGTGTTCAAAGTTTTATTTGAATGATTTATAAAGTTGAATTCATTTATGTTCTTGTTTGATTGGTTTGTAAAAAGATATAAATTACTATTCAACATCACTAAAACCATACATCTATACTTAAACTAATATGTGAAGTTTTTATATATTTATTGTTTATAACATGTGCGAGGGGAATTATTTATAACATTTTTCAGTTGTAAGATACTGAAATTTAAAGTTTAGGAAGTTAAAAGTATAAGGTAAAAAGTATAAATTTTTCAACATTCACATTTTAATGTTAACACAATTATCTAAAAGACAACCTTGAAATGTTATAATTTATCTTATTGAGGACAGATTTGAAATAGATAACACTTAGTTTCTTTCCCTGTTAGTAGACATTGACATGACCTACTGACAAAATTACTCAAGGGAAGTTAAAGAGATATTTCTGCAGACCTTATAGATAATGGTTGACATTTCATGCATGTTAAAGTACAAATTGATTGAAAATAGATATTGAATGAGCTTAGTTAGCTATATTTAAAAGTGTCAGGTTTTAACTGAAAGAGTGAGTTATACTAATTATGGCTGCACTTTAGACGCTTGTAAAAACATGTTCTCCCAGGGTCCTTGAGGGACTTGGTGGCCTAGTGGTCATAGTAGTTTATCTGCAGTATCACTAGCCTGTCAACAATGAGGTTGTGAGTGGTAGGTGTGTTTTAAACCGTATGTTAATTGACTTGGATTGTCAGTTTCCTGCCAAAGGTGGTGGTTCTCTCCTGGCACTCAAGCTTCCTCCATCAATAGAAACTGATTGCCACGCCACGTTAAAGCCAGTAGTCATGAAAGTAATGTTAAACACCAATAAATAATCAATTGTATTCTCCTAAAACGTATTCATTGGTAGTCAATTTGTGCTAAAACCATGAGTAAGACCAAAGAATTCTCCAGTTCACCTCGACCACTTGTATTTTGTTGTTCTCATACTGTAATTATATTGGCTGTTTCCATTCACTGAAAAAGAACCAAGATGTAGATCCATATTTTATCTACATGTACAATTCTTTTTTGGCTACCTCCTTATTTTGATATTAAACATAGATTGCAAACCATATTGTTTTGTCACAAATTTCAAATCATATAGAATCTAATAACTGTTATCATTGCAAACAGTTATAAGTTTATATATCTAGTAATCAATCATATTGAAATAAGTTTGTAACTATTTTAACTAATACAAATATGTTATTTGAAATGGTTTAAGAAAAAGGAGGTACATGTTTTATTGGAACCTGATAAGAACGAGTTGTCACCTGGAGTTCACAATACATAATTTACATAGTTAATGGACTTCCTGAATACTAAGTGAAAACAATATATTATAAAATTTGCATTTGATAATTTTTATGCCCCCGCCACTAGGCAAAGGGGACATTATACATTTATTTCCCGTGCCGGAGGGAGATATGAAGATTTGTTCACCCAAGAATATTCATATTTCACGAGGGCTCTGTCCGAGGGAAATATGATTTTTCGAGGGTGAACAAATCTTCATATCTCCCGAGGCAAAGGGAAATGAATGTTTTATTCCACTGCTTATCTTTGTTTACTATCAATACATTAAATATTATTTTGCATACATTTTTTTTCTTATCCGCTTGTTTTTGTAAGTCAAACTAAACACGACATACCCATTGATAAACAGTAAGGATCAAAATTTAATTATAAGTTTTTTTGTTTTATCGTCTGAAATAAATTTGAACATGTTCATGAGTTTAGCTATCGCTATTTTAAGAAGAATAAGAAGTTCAAAACGTTATGTACATTAACCGCGCGTAACGTCGCACGAAGTAATCCCGACATTTCAGAGGGGAATATGATCCTCAGAATGGAATATGAAGATTTGTACAATGACAGGTGGGATAGTCTCAACCAATCAAATATTGATTAAACTATCAACATGTTTAAACAGTGGAATAATATGTGTTATCCTTGTCTGTCTGTACGTTTGTCCCAAAATTGGTTTCTGTTCTTTAACTTTAGTTTGCCTCAACCAAATGTTATGAAACTTATACACAATGCTTATTACCATAAAACACAGATCAAGTTCGAATTTGGGTGGCCTCACTTTTACAGTTCTCTAGCTACGTTCCTTTATAACGTTATATGCAAGCAGGGGCATTATCTGTGTCCCATGAACACGTTCTCCATTTATTTTAAACTATTGTTAAAAGAAATTATTCCATAATGAAATAACCTCAGCAATAAAGTATGACAGTTTTTTTTATTCTCCACACACTTCCTTTATGTTCATTTATACTTCTCTTTATAGTAATCTTGTTTTCGTTAAGTGTGGAATAAAATTTTGGTAACAGTAGCTTACTGATGTTCAAATTTCATCAATCAATAAAAACTAATGGATTGAGAAATCAGTAATTCATTGCCACTCCATGTATACAGTGTGCTACAACAGACAATATAGAAGCATTTTAGTGGTCAATTATGAAAAATCTGTATGGGAGTCATAAGTGCTTAGGGTACATGTGTCAGCCTTTTTTTGGGACATAGTTGGGGACAATGATTGTTTGTCTAGAACACATAAACATGATAAATGGTGAATTATTTATTATAGGAATTTAAAAAGTTCTAAAGTTAAATGTATGAATTATATTAAATAAGTCATCTGAGACTTCAATGAATATTGACATTTAATTATCAGTATATCATTTCCAATTTGCCACATACACTACAGCTGTCTAATGGATACACTACATATATATACAGCTGTCTAGAGTTATGGATATTCCTAAAAAACGATATGATATTCTGATAATAAAAACCAGATACATGTTTGTGTTTTAAAAGAAAATTTGAGATAAAAAAGTCTGTTGAAATAAATGAAGAAAATAAAAAAAATGTATTGATTGGGAATAAAAGATGATCAAAGAATTGGTGTGTTAAACTAGGAGATATGATAACATTACTATAAACATGATGAATAGAATCTTGTAATCTTTAAAGAAGGTTCAACCCAGATGTTTGAAAATCAATTTTAATGGAGGTTTATTACATAGTTTCAGAGTTGAACACTTTTTTACCTATTTCTACAAAAGAATGTTTGGGAATGATACCTCTAAGTAGATTATTGACTGATCAATGGTCCATATGGACTACATACATTCTGTATAACATTTATAATTAGATGTACATATATTTAGACAGATACAGAGTACCCATACTAATAAATGAATAATTTATGAAATATATAATTGTGATGTCACAATAGTGTTAATTATCAATAATGTTCTTATCAGTGACTTTATGATATATTAATACATTTATAGATATAGGTATTATGATGTAACTGTTTATTAGCAAATAAGACTATGAAAAATACCTGTGTCAAGGGTTTCACTAGCAACAACAATACTTTATTTTAAGAGGGTTACACAGTTAGTTATACAAATGTTTAACTAATCTTCCCCGAGGCCCTCATCATAGAAAAACAAAAAAAAGTTGAAAAACACACATGCAAGCATATATACAAATGTACATGTCATACATTAGTATAACAGTCAAGTATTAAGATAATGTTAAATACAGCTGCATAGTGCATAAAATGTTTTGAAAAAATAAACGTGATGAAATATTTAATATTTTTTCAATTGCTTGATATCAATAAATGATCTGTTATTTTGTATTTGAAAGAATAAACAGTTGTAATATTTCGTATGAAATAGGCAAATCATTCCACTAGGTTGAAGGTCGGTCCAGTGTACATGTACAATTGAATTGTTTCATATTTTCATGTCTGGGTTTTTATACGTCCGTTTACGGGACTTATTATGGTATACCGTTGACCGTCTGTCCGTCCGTTTGTCTGTCCGTCCGTCGTCAACATGTCGGACATTAACTCAAAAAAGCTTTAACCAATATGCATGAAACTTTGGTGAATTATTTATATCTATTGACGTGAGCTCCCTTTCATTTTTTATAAATTTCAGATTTACCGTTTCTGAGTTTTGGGGTTTTATTCATTAAAAAAGGGGGGATTTTCCAGTTTTCCGACAATAACTCAAGATTGCTTTCACCAACTTGTAAGAAATTTTGATGAATTGTTTATATCTATTGACATGAGCTCCCTTTCGATTTTTATAAATTTTAGATTTTACTTTTCCGAGTTACAGGGTTTTATTCATAAAAAAAGGGTGATTTTCCAGTTTTCGGACAAGAACTAAAAAATGCTTTCAGCAGTTCTCATGAAACTTTGGTGAATTGTTTAAAATATCTGTTGATGTAAGCTCCCTTTAGAATTTTATAAATTTTAGATTTTACATTTCTGAGTTATGGGGTTTTATTCTTTAAAAAAGGGGGGATTTTCCAGTTTTTGGACAATAACTCAAAAATGCTTTCAGCAGTTCTCATGAAACTTTGGTGAATTATTTATAGCTATTGATGTAATCTCCCTATTGATTTTCATAAATTTCAAATATGACATTGAGAAGAAATTGAACTTTATTTATTTATAGTCTGACAACAGATTTACTAAGTATTGCGCAACAGCACAGTGTATTGCACAACAGCAAGAAATCTTTAATTGAATATAAATTCAATTCATATAACCAATTTCAAGTTCTTTGTCTACATTTATTCAGAAACCTATAATATGTCAAATATTTAATTACAATCCAAATTCAGACCTGTATCAAGCTTGAATATTGTGTCCATTTTTGCCCCAACTGTTCAGGTTGGACCTCTGCGGGCATATCCAGCTGCGCTCAGCGAAGCAGTTTATTCTTATTGTTGAAGGCCGTACGGTTGCCTACATCCACTTCATTTGAATTTTGGTGGATAGTTGTCTCATTGGTAATCATACCACATCTCCTTATTCTTACATAGAAGATTTCTTGAATTATTTGATATTTGGTTAAGGAAGTATCGGGTTTCCTTGAACAGTCTGAAACATAATAAAACTTGCTAGTAAGATGTAATGGGGCAACATGTACTGACCCTATTTTTTCCCTGCATAGAAATCACTTTCATTAAGTTTTCATTTGCTTTTTTTCTAGTTAATTGCAACCAAATTGCAGGTTTACTAATATACAGGTAACAGGCACTCTAGGGACAAAAATTACAAAAGTAAAAAGAATACTTACTGTCATGTACCTACCCTATTTCTCTTAAGGAGGAAATTGTAAATACACCATCACTCATTTATTGGGGCTTAGCAGTTAATACTAAAGCTAGAAACAAATTGGGAATTCTATATGTAAATTTATTTCTAATTTGAATTTATTTACAAAATATTAATAATATATATGATTTTTTTCAGGTAGATTTGTAACAGAGAGTCCAAGATGATGACCTTGATACCTCAGGTTCTACGGAATGAACGTAACCTTTGTTGTTTGTTTTTCTTATTATTGTTTAGTTATTACATTACAATGGACGTCATATTGTATGTGACTATACAGGATACGACATTCACCGATCAGACACGTGGAGATTCATACTCAATGTTTCATCCGCTCAGTGCAAAACTTGTCATGAGTGACCACACAAATCATTATTTCATGGTTCCAACTACAGAAATTTTTGATGAATTGACAAGATTTAGCAAAGTTTTCTTTTTTGTGACTCCTAATATGGTGACTATCACTCATTTTATCCTAGCATTAGTGGCAGCAAAATTCGTCAGCTCAGAAAATTTGAAACACAGAAGAATTGCAGTTGTTATTTATGAATTTCGAATCTGGCTGGATAGTTTGGATGGTGTAATTTACAGGAGTCATGCCCATGAAACTGTTTATAAATCTAACAAATCAACATTGGGATATTATATGGACACAACACTAGATGTGTTAGGGGGAGTTGCATTCAATCTCGGAGTTGTATTCTTTCTGTTTAAAGGTGCACCTTTGATAAGTAAAACTCAGGAATACATTTTACCATTTTGTAAACCAGCTGTTCCAACTGAAAATGGTGTGACAAATGGAAATGGAGAAAAATATACAAAACCAAGCAAAAAATTTATCTTCTGGAAGTGTTGGTGTTTTGGATTTCAGATTTTTATGGCTTCAGGTTCGTGGGATAAAAGAACTGAGCAGATGGGAGAAGTATTGGAAACCAACCTTAAAAATGATGCACAAACAGTAAGTATATTAACAATGGGTCTCATATGATTCAAAGAAGTAAAAAATCTTCTTTTTCTCATTGGAAAATCAGTGCTGATCAACTATTTTTATACGCCCGTTTACGGGACATATTATGGTATACCGTTATCCGTCTGTCCGTCCGTCTGTCCATCGTCAACATGTCGGACATTAACTCAAAAATGCTTTAACCAATTTGCATAAAACTTTGGTAAATTGTTTATATCTATTGACGTGAGCTCCCTTTCGTTTTTTATAAATTTTAGATTTTACGTTTCTGAGTTATGGGGTTTTATTCATTAAAAAAAGGGGGATTTTCCAGTTTTCGGACAATAAGTCAAGAATGATTTCACCAACTTGCAAGAAATTGTGGTGAATTGTTTATATCTATTGACATGAGCTCCCTTTCGATTTTTATAAATTTGGGATTTTACGTTTCGGAGTTACAGGGTTTTATTCATAAAAAAGGGGGGATTTTCCAGTTTTCGGACAAAAACTCAAAAATGCTTTCAGCAATTCTGATGAAACTGTGGTGAATTGTTTGTATGTATTGATGTAAGCTCCCTTTAGAATTTTATAAATTTTACATTTTACATTTCTGAGTTATGGGGGTTTTATTCATTAAAAAAGGGGGTGATTTTCCAGTTTTCGGACAATAACTCAAAAATTCTGTCACCAATTGTCATGAAACTTTGGTGAACTGTTTATATCTATTGATGTAAGCTCCTTTTTTATTTTCATAAATTTCTAATATGACATTGAGAATTAATTGAACTTTATTTTTTTATAGTCTGACAACAGATTTACTAAGTATTGCACAACAGCAAGAAATCTTTAATTGAATATAAATTCAATTCATATAACCAATTTCAAGTTCTTTGACTACATTTATTCAGAAACCTATAATATGTCAAATATTTAATTACAATCCAAATTCAGACCTGTATCAAGCTTGAATATTGTGTCCATTTTTGCCCCAACTGTTCAGGGTTGGACCTCTGCGGGCGTATCTAGCTGCGCTTAGCGAAGCAGTTTATTAAGTAATGCCCCTTTGAAATATAAATTATATGGAAAATTCAATTGTAAGTGCTTTCAAGTCTACATTTCATAAAATTCTAAATTAAAAGGTTTATATTGGCAATGTCTTTGACGATTTTTAAAATCAGCGCTGATCAGTAATTTTTACAGGAGTTTTGTCCCTTAAAATGTAAATTCTGTATGAAATAACATTGTAATTAAGCACTCTCAAACCTACATTTTGTGTAAAATTTTGATGAAATTCATATCAAAGGTTTATAATAGTAATGTCTTTTCAGTTCAAAAATGAATTCTTAAGAAATTATTTCATTTTGAAATGTAATTTAAATTGAAAATTGCATTGTTCACTATAATGCACTCTCACACCTCCATTGTCAGATTTTAGTGAAATTTGTCAAAGGTTTATATGAGCAGGTTCTTCCAGGAGTGGGACAATCAGCGCCTAAAAACCATTTTTGGGATTAATGCTTCTTGGAAATAGAAATTATATTGAAAATAACATTGTAAGCAATATCCTGCCTACATGTCTGTAAGGATATCTATGAAAAAGTTCATATGAACAAATAAAAAGTTTTTTGAGTTACTGCCCTTGGACAGTTTAATTACATGTACATGCATTAGTGGGGGACATTTGAATGCTATTCTCTTACTATTTTACCTCAGTACATGGTTGGTTATGTATATATTTTTTGTTATTTTACAGACTTTACAGACATCTATGTTACACTCCTTCAGTACATGGTTGGTTATGTATATGTGGAGACTGTGTGATGGACAGTCCCTCTTCCAAGTATTCCTGGTTGTTATTTTTATGGATAAAGTTTGGGTAAGTTCTAGTACATAAGTTTTATGGATAAAGTTTGGGTAAGTTCTAGTACACATATATCATGGATAAAGTTTGGGTAAGTTCTAGTACACATATTTTATGGATAAAGTTTGGGTAAGTTCTAGTACACATATTTTATGGATAAAGTTTGGGTAAGTTCTAGTACACATACATTATGGATAAAGTTTAGGTAAGTTCTAGTACACATATTTTATGGATAAAGTTTGGGTAAGTTCTAGCACATATATTTTAAGTTTATGTAAGTTCTAATACACATATTTTAAGATCATAGTTGAAGAGAGAGATGATAATAGTGGGAAATTGACCATAGAACTCATTTCATAAATGGGAAAGCCATTGCAATAGTTTCATATAAAAGGACATGTCTGTATAATATGGTATTGATATTTAGTTTGTTATCCACCTCAATTCTTGTTTTTACAGAAAATAACATGATTGTAGACTGACATTTATGTAAAAAAGTTGTGTCAGGATTCTATATCAAATACTGTATATGGGATTACAAACATGCTTATATATATATATCCTTATGTACATGTATGTATAAAGAGAGGTATATCCCTATTGATTTTTAGGTCATTATATCTGTGGCCAAAATCATACATTGTAGTTATTTAAAGAAAAACACATTTTCTGCAGATTTGGTCTCCACATGCTAAATCAAATACAGTATATGGGATTGCAAACCAACTTGAATATATACATGATATATAAAAATCAGAAGATGTGGTATGATTGCCAATGATGACATATAATGGGCCATATATATGGTCAAATACATGTATAATGAGTCACTTACGGTCACATATATGGTCACCTATAATGAGAAGTAGATCCTTATCATTTTTTTTCTACAATTTATTTGTACAATATTATTGTATTGTTTTATTTTGTAGGAGTTCCTGAACTTTGTACAATATATTGGATATGTTATCCTGATATCAGTTAATGTCATTACAGTTGTGCATGTAAACCATGTAAGTAGACAGGTGGTGACCTGTGGATTCAATACTTTTCATGGGGTACTAATTGTTATGACCCTGCCGTAGCGGAGGGGGCATTAAGTTTTACCCTTGTCTGTATGTACGTCCGTACATCCCAAAATTGGTTTCCGTTCTCTAACTTTAGTTTGCCTCAACCAAATGTTATGAAACTTATACACAATGCTAATTACGACAAAACGCATATCAATTTTTATACGACCGCAAAAAAATTTTGTGGTTGTATATTGGTATGACGTTGGCGCCGTCGTCGTCGTTGTCGTCGTCGTCCGGCGTCGTCGTCCGAATACATATTGGTTTTCGCACTCTAACTTTAGTTTAAGTGAATGGATCTTTTTGAAATTTGACCATAAGGTTAAATACCACAAAAGGAAGGTTGGGATTGATTTTGGGGGTTATGGTACCAACAGTTAAGGAATTAGGGGCCAAAAATGAGCATTTTCTAGTTTCCAGACAATAACTGTGGAACAGTGTATGGATCTCTCTGAAATTATACTACAAGTTTCCATACCACAAAGGGATGGTTAGGATTTGCTTTGGGGGGGTTATGGCTCAAACCGTTTAGGAATTAGGGGCAAAAAAGGGGGAAAAACAAGGTTGTCCTGGTTAATGGACAAATACTTTAGTACAAAACATAATTTAAAGCAGTGTAAGGGAGATAAATCAAATACATCATTGAAATTATCTCCCTTACACTGCTTTTAAATTATGTATAAAGTAATGGTTAATGAACAATAAAGATAATCTAAAACAGTGTAAGGGAGGTAATCCAAATACAACGTTTTGGTTACTTCCCTTACACTGCTTTTAAATTATGTTTAAAGAAATGCATATTTATAAAGGAAGACCAGTAAAAATATCTGCAAATGTTTTCATCTTTTTTTTTTACAAAAAAATCCATATGAAAGATTTGACACTATATTTTTATTAATTCTATTATAAAATAGATTAAGTTAGCACTATGGTAAATTTAAATGGGTAATTATGGTTGCCAACTCCATTGAAAATTTGAATTGAGATTATGACCATATCTTGAGGGAAAAAATTTTTTGGGGGGAAAAAGGGGGGGGGGGGGGATAAAAAGAAATTGTGGGGGGCCAATTTTTTCTCATTTCAGATTTCAGAAATTAAAAAGAATAATTCTTCAAATATTATTTTTTTTTCAAATTTCAAATATTGAAAAATTTCAAGAAGTAATCTTTAATTGCACAGTATGGCGCATTAGATTTGTAAAATCTTTGATCACATTTATTTATTTGTTATGCCGAATCTAACAGTGTATTTAGATTTTTAATTTTGGGTCCAGTTTTCAAATTGGTCTACATTAATGTCCAAAGGGTCCAAAATTAAACTTTGTTTGATTTTAGCAAAAATTGAATATATGAGGTTCTTTGATATGCTGAATCTAAACATGTATTTAGATTTTTGATTTTTGGCCCAGTTTTCAAGTTGGTCCAAATTGGGGTCCAAAATTAAACTTTGTTTGATTTCAACAAAAATTGAATATATGGGGTTCTTTGATATGCTGAATCTAACCATGTATTTAGATTTTTTATTTGTGGACCCCGTTATCTAATTGGTTCATATTGAGGTCAAAAGGGTCCAAAATTAAACTTTGTTTGATTTCATCTAAAATTGAATTATTGGGGTTCTTTGATATTCCAAATCTAACCGTGTATTTAGGTTTTTAATTTTGGGTCCTGTTTTTTAAATTGGTCTACATTGAGGTCCAAAGGGTCCAAAATTAAACTTAGTTTGATTTTTACAAAAATTGAATTCTTGGGGTTCTTTGATTTGCTGAATCTAAACATGTGTTTAGATTTTTGATTATGGGCCCAGTTTTCAAGTTGGTCCAAGATAGGGTCCAGTATTTAAACTTTGTTTGATTTCAACAAAAATTGAATATATGGGGTTCTTTGATATGCTGAATCTAAACATGTATTTAGATTTTTGATTATGGGCCCAGTTTTCAAGTTGGTCCAAATTGGGGTCCAAAATTAAACTTTGTTTGATTTCATCAAAAATTGAATATATGAGGTTCTTTGATATGCTGAATCTAACCATGTATTTAGATTTTTTATTTGTAGGCCCCGCTATCAAATTGGTTCATATTGAGGTCAAAAGGGTCCAAAATTAAACTTTGTTTGATTTCATCGAAAATTGAATTATTGGGGTTCTTTGATATGCCAAATCTAACCGTGTTTTTAGATTTTTAATTTAGGTCCCGTTTTTTAAATTGGTCTTCATTGAGGTCCAAAGGGTCCAAAATTAAACTTAGTTTGATTTTAACAAAAATTGAATTCTTGGGGTTCTTTGATATGCTGAATCTAAACATGTGTTTAGATTTTTGATTATGCGCCCAGTTTTCAAGTTGGTCCAAGTTGGGGTCCAAAATTAAACTTTTTTTGATTTCAACAAAAATTGAATATATGGGGTTCTTTGATATGCTGAATCTAACCATGAATTTAGAATTTTTATTTGTGGGCCCCGCTATCAAATTGGTTCATATTGAGGTCAAAAGGGTCCAAAATTAAACTTTGTTTGATTTCATCAAAAATTGAATTATTGGGGTTCTTTGATATTCCAAATCTAACCGTGTATTTAGATTTTTAATTTTAAGTCCCGTTTTTTAAATTGGTCTACATTAAGGTCCAAAGGGTCCAAAATTAAACTTAGTTTGATTTTAGCAAAAATTGAATTCTTGGGGTTCTTTGATATGCTGAATCTAAACATGTGTTTAGATTTTTGATTATGGGCCCAGTTTTCAAGTTTGTCCAAGCTGGGGTCCAAAATTAAACTTTGTTTGATTTTAACAAAAATTGAATATATGGGGTTCTTTGATATGCTGAATCTAACCATGTATTTTGATTTTGGACATTGGACCATAATAGGTAAATTAAAAAAAATCAAGTTCTTAGACCACATTCTTTCTGTGTCAGAAACCTATGCTGTGTCAAATATTTAATAACAATCCAAATTCAGAGCTGTATCAAGCTTGAATGTTGTGTCCATACTTGCCCCAACTGTTCAGGGTTTGACCTCTGCGGTCGTATCAAGCTGCGCCCCAGCGAAGCATTTTATTGAATTTTGGTGGTGTCACTTTTACCGTTCTAGAGTTATGCCCTTTACAAATGGAAAAATTGCTGATTTCTCTCGTTTCTGTTCTCTTACTTAATAAAATTGAGAATGGAAGTTTGCCTCAACTAAATGTTATGAAACGTATACACAATGCTTATTACCACAAAACTCAGATCAAGTACATATTTGGGTAGCGTCACTTTTACAGTTCTTTGAGTTATGTCCCTTTTTAACATTATATGCAAGTTGGGGCATCATCTGTGTCCATGGCATCTGTGTCCCATGGACACATTCCCCATTTACTTCAAATGATTTTGTAGGTGAAGGTTTTGAATTTTCAATAGCATTGTATGCAAAATTTGTTAGAAGCACAAAATCAAATATCCACTAACATACAATCTTTTCTACATCAAGGAAAAATTGGTATCCAACGAGGAAAATAAATGAATACTCAATATAAGATAATACTATTACTAAAAAGTATGCAAGACTTTAAGCAGTCTGGAGTACATTCATTGTTAAGTTATTTTGTTTGACCAGTCTTTTTTTTATGAAATAATGATAAATAATATATCACATGTTCACCAATTGGCCGAATTCAGAGTAAATCTGTGTACTGTTTTGAACATTGCTATTTATGTTCGAAATATTCTCTTTTCATGAGATTTATCACTAATTGTGAATTTGAAGAACTGATGAAATTATGCAAAATCATCTGTCTCACATTGACATTTGCTAAAAAATGATACAGAGCATGACCCAAAAAGAAATTCTCAAAGAATTTGTTAGAACCAGAAAATCAAGTAACCACAGCAAAACAATCTTTATGGGTATTTTATACTTCTATACGCACTGGCAAAAAATGATTGCAAGAAATAATTTTTGAGACATTTGTGTAGTGTCATGTGATTTAATACAATTGACAGACTTAAGATGAAACTTCTTAATGTGACATTGGAATTTTAAGGAATTGTGAAATTTCTTCCAGATTTGAAAACCATTCTATGATTGAATTTACATTACACCTAACATGAAAAAAGAAAGATGTGTAGAAAGGCAAATCACAAACTTACAAAAATGAAATGTTAACTTTGAGGAAAATTTTAATCGATGAATTGATTAACATTTTTACTTTGTTTTTCAGATAAAGAATGTTATTGGAATCAAATGAGAAAGATAAAGTTGTGTCCCTTTGTAGTATGAAGAGTTATTTGCCTTTGTGATCTATAATCTGTGCAGCAGCAATGACAGCTTAACCTTTAACCTTAGTCACCTGCCACAGTCATGATGCTAGTCTTTGTTGGACACTTGTTTCTCCAAAATGGCCAAAAATAATCTTAACATAACCATAAATGTTTTGTACTGGGTACCTGCTACCCAAATGTATTGTAATGGGCACCAGCAAACAAAATATATTGTACTGGGTACCGGCCACCAAAATGTATTGTACTGGGAACCAGCAACCAAAATAAATTTGTCTTGAGATTGTCTCATCCAAGTGTATTGTATGTGGTCCCTGTATCACTTAAATGCATTGAATTGGACACCTGTATTAACCCAAGATTTGTTCTATAAATTTCCTTTCTCACAATTATGTTAATTGGTAACTATTTTTTAGATCATACTGAATTTTTCATTTCTATTCCATAAAGAAAAGAACTGCCAATTTCCAAAAATAATATATTTATTATATTAAAAATACTGAAAAAATATTTTGAAACGAATATCTCAAGTTGAACTTAAATATCTAGATATAACTCACCTCAATGAAGGCACACTGAAATTATGTCTATATCTGACTACCTTTGAAATCAATCTCAATAGCAGGAATCTATAAAGTTAAATATCACTTCTGTTAGTTTTTCACTTCAAAATGAAAATTGGTAGATGTAGGGTTGTCTCCCTTACATTGTAGTTGTAGGATTGTCTCCCTTACATGGTAGATGTACTGTTTGTGTTGATAATAAAGCCATGATTATTTCTGCCTTGCTTTGGGAGATTTTTTTCATCTTTAGAGTATTTATGAGCAAAATTTATAGATGGAGAAAAGTTACGAGAATTAAAATAAAAACAATGGTTCTCAGCATAAACCAAAGTTATGCAGAACATAGCTTTTTATGTCTGTTTAATTAACAGGTTGTAATATTAAAGTTTAATCAGACATTGTTTAACAGAATCTCATTAGTACAATAAGGGCTGTTCCAGAGTTGGAGGCATAACTCCAACCACCCATAATATAAAATGCTCATTTTACTTATAATTCTTAGAAAATGCAACCATTGAGTTGCTCCCCCACCATGATAAATTTTGGAACAGTCATAAGTTTATAAAAGTATTTAAATATGAATTAACACAATTTCTGTCTCGTAACTTAATCAAGGGTGATGATAACTGGATCGGTGAAAACACTCAGCCATATATCTACTGATATTTATATATGTACATGATGTATGTAGTACATTTCTTTTTTGGGAATTACGATTATAGTTTTAAAGAACTGAAATTGCATATGATATTTAAATTTTTTTGTTAATTTGCAATGTAGTTCAGACATTGATGACTTGATGCAAGTATTCCTTTGTAAAATTATAGATTTTATCTTTTGGTGTTTTTTTTTTTAGAAAATAATAGCACTTGCATGCTATATTTTCTTCAAGCTTTTTGATGTTTTTTCAGTATGTATATGTTGATTGTTAATTCATGTTTTGTCATGAAAACAAAGTTATTGTAGAATAAAAAGTTTGCTTATATTCTATGTATAAGATATTTTTATTAAGAAGTATTTTGTTATATATAATTGTTGTGATCAATTTGATATCATGGCTATTTAAGAAAAAAATGTAGGGGAGGAATGGATTTTTCTTTTTTTACACCACCTTTCAAAATATATTCTGAAATCTAGAAAACTGCATCCTGAAAATTCATTTGAATCCTGGTGCCCAAAAATTCTTGATTTTAGTATTTGCCTCATCCGCTACATTTTTTTCTCTATAAGCCATCATTCAGTTCATTATTAATATTTAAAAAAGAATGTTTTCTTCTTATATGTTAAACTTATATATACACACAGGGATTGACATGTTGGCAGGGTTAATATCATTCCTTCATATCTGTTCTTTTATTTAATTTCTGAAATAGAATTTATTTTAGACAGAACATTTGTCGTTTAATAATTGTAGCTATGTATCCTTGCTGCTATGTTTTATTGCTTTGTTTATACTAACTGCAACAAAACAGTATTATACTTTGTCCAAAGAAAGATAACTTTGTACTTGTTTTAAACATTGAATTTAGCTTTTTAATTTCTATCAAAATAACAAAAATTGGAAAAAACATAAAATGCTAAATAGCAAAGTTCCAATTTAATAGTTTAGAACCATAGTAGAACAACCTTGTATGTTTAAATGATTTTGTTAATGTTTGATTGTTATGTTAAAGTAATATACAGTGAAACAGAGTGATCACTGTTGATTTTGGGTTGTTAACTCTGATGTAGGAACTCTGCTAATGATACATTCTTTATAACTGGGAATTAATCAGTGGGAGTTATTAGACTAAAAAAAAACAATGAGTTCTCTCTACACACAAATATTTTCACAGTGAACATCAGTTAATATGGCTGTATATCAAAACTAATAGTTTTATAAGGAGGAGCTTAAGAAATGTTTCAGTTGAGATGTAGTAAAACTGTAAATGATGCAAAGAATGTCTTGTCCTAAAAAAGATTTTATGAGTACCAACAGTGTGTGGATATTTCAATGTGCCATATTTATTCTAAATGTTAAAATCTCTTAATGATATAGAAATGTGAAGAATATGTCCCAAGTATTCATGAAAAATATAACCTGAATTTTTGTGAAATGTGAAAGATTTTGAATATTATAACCAATAGTCTTGATTGTAAATGGTATTACTTATGCTAATAAAATTTGAAGTCTAGAACCAAAATCATAAAATGACATGTGTAGGATATTTCCAAAAGCATAACAAAATGTGAAAAAATATGACCAAAATCATCATGAAATATGGAAGATATGACCAAAACATATGGATATAACTTAATGAACCTAAATCAGGTAAATTAGATATTTCTATAAGAAATGAAAGTGTGATGTTGTCAGATTTATATGGCAGTACCTTTAAATTACCTCAGTTGCTGATAAAAGTTACTTCATTTTGTACTTTGAGGAAAACAGTTTTCTAAAAATCACTCATAAAATCAAATTTTAAGCATCAATTGTTTTCCAGATATTTGTAAATTTTAAGTAGGATTATATAATTCAGCTTGCTAACGACCAAACAAATGTAAGGTGAAAGAAATGTGTAGACTACAATGTCATTGTTTTCCTGAGCCATGGTATGCCATTGATGCCTATTTATACCTCTATTTCAATTCCACCATTCCATAAGTATTCATTTTTATAACCCTAAATGATTTGTATTTCATTGGCTGGTAATATTTAACAGTTTAGAGTAGATCCTTGTTTTCATTTATGTTTTTAACTTTGAATACTTTTTCATAATGAAAACCCATATACATATACACTGTATTAGATTTGATTACATAGCTATACTTTTTCAACAGCCATCATTGACTTACAAGTTGGTGTCCACTTGAAAAAATTAATTTAATTGGTTTTAAAAAGTCTTTAAAAGGGACATGGTGCAAGTTTTGTATAAACATGTTGACAGTTAAAAGCTTTATAAAGCACTTGTTTTTGTTTTTAGTTGTTTAATTAATGAAGTTATCAGATACGTGTTGTTGTGCAACTATAAAAACCTTTTCTCAAAACTAAGGCCAATTATAGCATGTGTTGTAGATGTCAGTAAATGTCAAATTTGCAAGATTTTTTCTGGCAATTCTAATATTTTAACTATTGATATTAAAAATATATTGCTGTACATGAATAGACTGTACAGTGAATATGTTGGAGGTAATCCTCAGGTGAGAAAAAATTGTTTAGCCATATATATATTCTCAATTGAGATGGATTTTAAAAAATTTTGTTCCCAAATTCAACATATAAATTGTAAGTGTTAGAATAGGTACATGTGTATTATATGGTCAAAAATTGATTTAAACCAGTTTTACAAATTACATATTCCATTCCTGAGTATACTTCTTGGAATTTATTTTTATATTTCAATTAATGGTTTTCCTTCGTGTTTTCCCAATTGAAAAGGTAAAACTGTTATTACAACAGCCATAAACACATGTTAATTTTGTAATGTCTATTGCCATAAACACTTTTCTTCTGACCATTCTAGTGATTGTTAAGAAAACACAGGGTTTGACTGAACTTAATGTTTAGCATTTGGGTAGAGTTTATTTTTCATCCACGTTTCATATTTGGTTGTGTTATTAACTTGTTAAAACTGTACGGGTCTAGAAGTATCTTCTTTTGAAAACAAATAAACCTAATTTTCAGCATATCTTAGAATTTTTTGTCATAAAAAATAATACAATTACAATAACAATGCCAGTGATAGGTATACTAGAAAGAAGAAAATTCATTAGATAAAAATACCCGAAACACAAGAAACACCTTCTGCAGTTGTTTAAGATTGGGGTTAAAATATTCAAATTAGTTTCCCGTACAACTATTGCAAGCCCTTACAACTCTTATTTAACTTGATCTACTTTCAGTTTAGAATCGTTAACATTATTTTGTTATACCTAGATTAGTTTTTATGTAGACAATAAAATAAAGGATGAAGATGATAAAACGGAATGCAGAATTGGGAATCATAAATCAAACACTTCAAAATATTATTTTATCATTTGACAAATAAGAATAATAATGTTACTTGACAAATTGTTCCAAATGAAAGCAATTAGTTTATGTTTCTGAAATATTTTGGACTAAGGAATAAAAGAATTTCAGTATTTTCTAATTTGTCATTTTCTGAAGTTAAGAAAAAACAACATACTGGAGATTGTTATCTCCTATTTCAATAATGGATGAATATCATTTGAAGTTTTCTATAGTCAAACATTAACATTGTCTTTTGTAGCACAGTGTAGTGCCTTTCAATGAATACCAGAGACACTCATAACCATGTTAAATAGTAGTTTTTCGTGTTCTGTTACATAGTAATGAAGGCCGTCCTACATCGTGATATTTTTTGTGATTATTAAAATCTCATCGTAACCATATGTAGGTAAACATCAACCAAATGAAGCATGTATATGAATGTATGTCTGTGTAGGTATTTGTTTACAATTATTGCTTTATAATGATGTTCTAATAAAGTTTCAAATGCAGTATATGTGAAGTTGAAAAAATTACAAAATAGTTTGTGTATTTTCTGCCTCCAAATGGTTGCCAAAATTGTATGATTGATTGGTTGATTTTTAGCTCACCTGTTAGAAAAGCCAAGTGAGTTTTTCTCATCACTTGTAGTCTGCCGTCTGTTAGCTATATAAAAAGCTTCTCCTCTGAAACTACTTGGCCAAATTAAACCAAATTTGGCACCAAATTTGGCCACAATCATTATTAGGGTATTTTAGTTTAAAAAATGTGTCAGATGACCCCACCTGTCAATCTAGATGGTCGGCATGGCTAAAAATAAGGGTAAAAAGTTTTGCCTATTATTTCGAAAATCGCTATGAATAGAGAAAATCTGACATGTTCAGAATGTTGAGCTCTACCTATTGTTCATTTTAAGTAAAAAGTGCCAAAAAAAAAAGCTGTGGTTAGCATAACTATGACTACAAATCTGTTAATATCAAAGTCAAACTTACAGTCTTAGCTCTCTTCAATTTATTTTATTAACTTTCATGAAGAAAGACCAATCCAAAAGATGGAGTATATATCTCATGTTATTGATACTTTATTTAGGAGTTTCACGCTATCAAATCCAGTATTATATGTACATGTTATATGGATGTTGATATGTAGATATAGTACATTATTAAGTTTAGTTAACAGCATATTAGTAAGTGGAGAAATGTTGTAAGATGTAGTTTTATACAGGACCACAATGCAAACAACACTAATTTTGTATTAATTTAGTTCAATAACTTCTAATTTAGCAACTTAAGGCAATCATGATAGGAAATGCAAGCTTTATCGTAACATTTGGGGAATATTATATAAATAACACATAGCTGAGAGGGTGATAGAGCAGATTGTTATCCTCAGAAAAGATTGTCAACCGAGGTGAAGCATAAAGATGAAATGCAAACTTAACATCGATGAATTGGTTTTTATACGACCGCAAAAAATTTTTTGGGATCGTATAATGGTATGATGTCTTCGTCGTCTTCTGCATCGCCGTCCGAAGACACATTGGTTTCCGGACAATAACAGTAGTTTAAGTGAATGGATCTCTATGAAATTTTTTAAGAAAGTTCAATACCACAAAAGGAAGGTTGGGATTGATTTTGGGGATGATGGTCCCAACCGTTTAGGAATTAGGGGCCCAAAAGGGGCCCTAAACAAGTATTATTCTAGTTTCAGGATAATAACTTGTGTATAAGTATTTCGATTGCTCTGAAATTGTACCACAATGTTTAATACCACAAGTAGAAGGTTGGGATTCATTTTAGGGGTTATGGGGCCAACAGTTTAGGAGTTAAGGGCCAAAAAGGGGCCAAAAACAAGCATTTTTCTAGTTTCCAGACAATAACTTGAGTGTAAGTGTATGGATCTCTGACATTGTACCACAAGGTTCCATATAACAAAGGGAAGGCTGTGATTGAGTTTGGGGTTAATTGCCCCAAACATGTAGGAATTAGGGGCCAAAAAAGGGCCAAAAATAAGCATTTTTGTCGAGCCTTCGACTTTTGTCGAAAAAGCGAGACATAGCGATCCTACATTCCGTCGGCGTCGTCGTCGTCGTCGGTGGCGGCGGCGGCGTCCACAAATATTCACTCTGTGGTTAAAGATTTTTAAATTTTAATAACTTTCTTAAACTATCTTGGATTTCTACCAAACTTGGACAGAAGCTTGTTTATAATCATAAGATAGTATCCAGAAGTAAATTTTGCAAAAAAAAAATCATGTTTTTCCGTATTTTACTTATAAATGGACTTAGTTTTTCAGCCAGGAAACATTACATTCACTCTTTGGTTAAAGTTTTTTAAATTTTAATCACTTTCTCAAACTATCCTGGATTTCTACCAAACTTGGACAGAAGCTTGTTTATGATCATAAGATAGTATCCAGAAGTAAATTTTTAAAAAAAATCCAGTTTTTCCGTATTTTACTTCTAAATGGACTTAGTTTTTCTGCCAGGAAACATTACATTCACTCTGTGGTTAAAGTTTTTAAAATTTTAATAACTTTCTTAAACTATCCTGGATTTGTACCAAACATGGACAGAAGTTTGTTTATGATCAAAAGCTAGTATCTAGAAGGAAATTTTTATTAAAATTTTGTACTTGTTTATCCATATTTTACTTATAAATGGACTTAGTTTTTCTTCGAGTTAACATTACATACAGTCTGCAGTTAAATTTTTTAAAACATTTATTAGATTCATAAACTATCCTGGATTTTTACCAAACTTGGACAGAAGCTTCTTACAATAAAAAAATTTATCGAGAGGAATATTTTTATTAAATTTTTTCTCGTCTCATTTTTGTTGAGCCTGCGATTAACAGCAAAAGTAGGCGAGACACTGGGTTCCGCGGAACCCTTACGATTTTTTATTCTAGTTTCCAGACAATAACTTGTGTTTAAGTGTATGGATCTCTCTGAAATTGTACTACAATGTTCCATACTACAAAGGAAAGGCTGGGATTGAGTTTTGGGGTTATTGCTCCAAGGGGGGGTTCAAAAAGTTGGGGGAGGGGGGGGGGATTTTTATTTCCAATTTTTTGAAGGGATTCATATTTTTTTTTCAAAATTTTTCAAATTTCGAATTTTTGAAAAGTTTCAAGAAGAAATCTTTAATTGCACAGTATTGCGCAATGGATTTGTAAGATCTTTGACCACATATATTTTGTGTCAGAAACCTATTTTATGTCAAAAATTTGATCACAATCCAAATTCAGACAGTGTCAAGCTTGAATATTGTGTCCAAATTTGCCCAAACTGTTCAGGGTTCGACCTCTGCGGTCGTATCAGGCTGCGCTCAGCGAAGCATTTTATTGTCATCAAAAGAAGTACGTTGTTGAGCCATCTATCAGTAGTCCAACATCGTAGTTTGCGGGTAAAGTGGAGATTAAAAGGTAGGATGACATGTCTTTCTGTGACCTTTCAAACTAGCATGTTAAAAATCAGACACAGTGTTGGTCTACTCTCTCTCTCTCTCTCTCTTTTTATGTAGGTATAACCTTAATCTCATCTGTCAATTTTTTGGAAGATTGGGACTTTAGTTTTAATTCTTTTCTATGGCATCATCCCGCAAACCAGGATATAGTTGTCTTTGCCACTACATCTACACACACTGCTGAACTATAGATTATCCCGTGATTATGTCAATATGTACTAACGAAATGTTATATCTTGAGAGTTTTGTATGTCATAAGTTTTGTCAATTTTCTTGTTAGTTTTGTAATGTTAATAAGAAAGTTCACTTATACAAAATAATTAAGATTGACAAATGTGATATTCAACAAAAATACAAAGACAAATGCGGAGTTTCTTTTATATTTGTCTTTGAACGGGTTCTATATGAACATATGAGTACAAAATAAGTCAGCCAGGAGTGGTGCACAATTAGTACCTATAAGAATATCAACTGTCTGCTGAAATATTAATCCACCAAACTCAAAATATATGTTGTGGATCACAAAGTCTACCGTTTTGATGATATCATTTTCGATGTATTTGTTGTGGGAATCAGTGTTGTTCTTCACAAAGTAAGATTGTTCACAACTAAAAACAAGAAATTTGCAACTACGATATAAACAAGGAGATGTGGTATGATTGGTATAAAAAATTTACTTTAAGAGTTATCTCCCCTTAAATGGCTAAGTTGAAAAATTGATTTTAAAAAACACAAATATTTGGTATTTGTTTAAACATTTTGGATTATGCAATAAATCACTTATTTTTCTTTACACAAATAAACATTCTTACACATAAATTGTACATCTGTCTCAAAATTTGCAGATTTAGGCAAAGAACTAGACCGATTGTGTACTGCTATTGTACAATCCAAGATGGCGGTATACAGTGAATCTACCTTAACCGCTACGTCATTTGTTCTCTGTGGAGAGTTGTCTCATTGGCAATCACACTACATCTTCTTTTTTTTATATTCAACAAAAGACATGCTCAAGAAGTTAATAGCAACGAGGCTAAATTTATGCTACATGTCATGTTAATCGCCTCGATATAGCCTTTATGGGATGCAGGGATATAAAATGCCAGCCATCAATATTTATCAATCCTTTAATTTATGTGCAGGAAAAATAATTAAACATATGAAACTATGACAGCATAAGTTTACTAAATATATTTCCATGAATAGGCGTCTTCGCAGTTCTACAGCTGCGCTAGTTTATGGTAATATGTTTCCAGAAATCAATTCATTTCTGATTATTTAGCCTCAGTTTATTGAAATATATGTTTTACATAGTCTTCAAAATTAGCCTAACCCATATCAAATCTTAAGTTTTAAAAAAGACCCGAGATGACGTACACAATGAATAATTTCAGATATTAGTTCTATAGCCAAAGTTTTAAGTATTGTAAGTTTCCAGAAATAAGCTTTCCCCGATTTTTTTCTACCCAATATGCTTCGAAGTGTGTTACTGGTTAAAATTCCTTCTTAATATAATACGACAATAATCTGATAATACAAAACTGTCGCATGTAAATCTCATTTGAACATTCTTGAAATTAACATTCCTTAAATTTCATCTTAAGCAAACAATTATAACTACATTGAGGTCACAAAGTTGGGTAGAACCTACGAAAGTTAAAATTTCATTCCATTTTTACTGTATTTGACGGAAGCTTGCTAGGCGACCGGGATGCTGTGCGACATAGGTATTCTTTGATATAAGTACGAGATGGCAATACACATTATGTAAACTGAGAGATTATCACATCTTCTTAACTCCGGTCTATAATACCGGTATATGTTAACATGTTAAACCATGGAGCCTTATTATCATAATTTGTGTCAAAGGAATACATTAGCAATGAAACAATAGTGTTGATACGAAAAGGGATTATTTGTATTATATATAAATATATTTGCTATACTGATATGGATGTAATGAAACTTTTTATTATCCTTTGTGTATTGTTTGTAGCTGTTCAATCTATCAAAGGTATGTCAATAGAATAACAACATAAAGCAAAACCATTCCCTCAGTTGAAAAATACAAAAAT